CCCCCCTCCCGGCCGGCCCCCCGCCCGCGCGCGTCAGCGCCACACGCTCGGAGCTGGCGGGCATCGAGGTCCTGCAGAGAGCTCCCACCTCCTGGACCACGGATCCCTTTTCTCCCCGCCTCATTCCTTCCCTCCGCTCCTCCTCCTTCCCTCCTTGTCCCCAGGCGGTCTCTTCCTTTCCTAGGTGGGTACTGAGCGCCTGCTGTGCCAGCCTCTCCTGGCCCTGGGCGTACAGCGGTGAAGCGAGTGCCCACGGAGGTACCACAAGCAGGTGGACACATAGGTAATCCCCCAGAGAGCCAGAACCAGGACAGATTACGACAGGCTCTCCGCTGACAGGGGACGGTGGAGAGGGACCGGGCCACCTGGAGACCTCCTAGGCAGAAGAGGCAAGAGCACAGCTCCTAAGGGCTCTGGCTCTGGCTTCAGGACTTTTGTCTCTCAAGCCAGGGGAGCAGCCTCGGCATCAAGGAAAGCTACCGGTCTGGAGGGTCCCCACAGGACCTGGCCCGGCACAGTGAAGAGCGTGGAAACTGGAACTCAGGGCAGAGTGGCTCAAGGTCACGTGGCTACTTCAGTTCAATATCGCTAAAAATAACTACCCAGCGCACTTACTGGGTGCTCCAGTCTGAGTGCGGTTTGCCTCAGGGAACACAGACAGGACAGCAGGTCCCCAAGGCAAGGCCGGGTCACAGTCGGCATGGTGCCCTCTGCCAGGCCAGGAGCCAGCCTCCACCATTCCGCAGATAGAAAAACGCAGGCTCAGGATCCCTGCACCACCCTGCCCTCATCTGGATGTTCGCTCCAAGAGAGTCTAACAGGGAAACAATACAAACATTTAGGGGTGAAAAATGGGGATTCCCTCCATGTCTGGAGAGGAAGCCCCAGCTCCCCGGATTCTCGGGCTCCCTGTGCCCACTGCTGGGGGAGGGGAAGGAAGGTTCTTCGGCCAGTCAGCGATGGGTCTCTCCCTGGGGATGTGCCCAATTGTCTTTCGAGCCTGTCAGATTCCTACTCCAGGGCAGGTCAGAAGAGGGAAGGCAGGCACCGCCCCTGTGGGGAGCACCCCCTAGCACAGAACAGAAAGGAGCAGGGGGAGTCCCGGCAGCCTAGAAGGGAGGGGAGCAGAGGCAATGTGGGGGGACCCAGAGAGAGGGCTGCAGGCCACAGGTGACAGGGGCAGCACTGCATGGGCACTCAGATGAGGCAGCTCTGACCCCTCAGACACAGACTCGCCAAGGCCGCTCCCAGACTCCTGGAGTCTCCTTTTCATCAACTGTAAAATGAAGGGAGACCGCACGGTCTCTGAGGTCTCTTCCAGCACATGTGTGTGGGGGGAGGCGAGTATGACAAAAGAAGGCCTCTGAATCCTAGCTTCAGAAACATGCCTGTGACAAATTACTGAGGACCTGCTATGTGCTGGGCACTTTCCTAGGGGCTGGAAAGGAAGAAGGGCCTCTGCCCATGGGGGACTGTTCTTGCAGGTTGTCATACTTCACCCCCGTGAGCAGGCTGGGAAGCGGTTATAACCGTTCCCACTTTATGGAGGAGGACACAGGCTCAGAGAGGTCCTGTGACTCCCCAGAGCCCTGGCCTGTGCATGTCAGAGGCCAGATTGCAACCCGTTTTCTGAGCCTGCTTTACACCACCCAGTGTCACTCGTCAGCCACGGGCACAGGGCTCTCGGGCACTTCACACTGTGGGGCTGAGACTCAAGCTGCCCGCCAGGCAGAGGTAAATGAGCCGACTGCCACCACCATCCCAGCTCCCACTGAGGGTCAACTGTCTTGGTTAAGATCCCCGATAAGTTGGAGAGAGGGTCTGTCCCTGCAGTGTGGGAGGTGCGACCCCTCACCAGTGCTCTTTCCAGAACGGCTGCCTGGGCCCTACTGAGGCCGCAAGGGATCTGCAAGAGCAGGGCTGATCCCTCCCTATGTGGATCCAGAGAGGTTGTGACTCCCCCACTTCATAGCTCACAGACATTGCCGGACACAGGGACATGGTGATGAAGGAGAAAGACAAGGCCCCACCGTCCTGAGGAGCCTCTGTCCTACAGGGACAGACGCTCAGGAACTCATCGCAGCTCCATGGCAGTAAGTGCCCAGAGGAAAGCAAAGCTGTCACCCGGTGAAGGAGTCGGGAAGCAAATGGTGAGTAGGGACAGACCACAGCACGGCAAGCCGGGAAACTGTCTGAGCAGAGGGGAGTCTGTGAGCAGGGATCCCAGTGCAGAAGGGCGGGCGTGTGGCGGAGCGGAAGGGGGCCAGGGCCCGATTTGTACTCACAGGCTGCTGGGAAGCCGCTGAGTGCTTTAGGCAGGAGTGAGCTTCTTGGCATTTTTACGGCCGCCACACTGGCCGCTGTGAGGACAGGCATAGAAAGCCACTTAGGAGGCTACTCCCCCAGGATGCAGAGAGAGGCTGTGCTGAATGCTGACAGGCAGTGACAGAGAAGAGAGGGAGGGGGAGCCCACGGGGAGCCATCACCCCACTTCTGAGAGCCTCCCATGCTCCTTGGACTCGCCCCCCCCCCCTTGAGTAGCACACAGCAGGGACTTGGAGACTCAGGTGCAACAGACAGATATGGGAAAGCCTAGACAGCAAAGCAGAGCTGGTTGACCCCGCTCCAGGCATCGGGTCTCATGTGCCCTAAGGGAGGGAGGAGGGGCCTTGCCCAGAGACTGCCGAGATGGTGCCAGCAGTGTCCACTAAGGTGCCCAAAGTCTAGTAGGCATCGGGCTGGCATAGCTGATGGAGGCACTGTTTGGGAGGTGCCTACAGAACCTGGAAGGCCAAAACCAGACCTTGCGTAGACGCTGGGGTTCAGCCCTGGGCCGCATCAGATAAATATTAAGCCGTCTCCAGGTTTGTAAAAGCGGATGATTACTCTCAGCGCTAATACCCTGAGACAGGGAAGCCAGCCCTAGCCATCCTCCCTCACTGCCTACGCTGGGGCACTGGGCTCCAGACTCACCCAGACCTATCCCTGCTCTGGGACACCTGCCAGTCTGATGGGTCCTCTAAGCGATGCCTGGGAGCTTGAGGGACGGGAGGGCAGCTGTCTGGGACTGAGGGAGGAGGGCTGCTCGGAGGCGGCTGCCTGTCAACTGACAGCAGACAGCAATGGCAATAGTGGCAGCGAGCAGTAACCGTAATGATCAAGGTCACCACTTGTCGAGCACCTACTGCGGTACAGGCTTTGTTCCAGGCAAACCTCACAGCAGCTCTAGGGTAGAAGAGGTACTGTTTCCTCCGATTCAGAGGTGAAGGAAATGAGGGCATAAGGGATTCAGGGATTTACCCTAAGGATTTGAGGTCCCACTGCCCCATGTACCAGCTGCAAGACACTTCACAACTTCACTGTCACCTCTCCGGTTCCCAAATCGCCTCACCTGTCGAAGGGAACCAGCGCTGTCCTAATGCAGTGGTCCTCGAAGTGCTGTCCCTGGACCTGGACCAGTGGCAACAGTGTTAACAGAAATACCTCGAAATGCCAGTTCCTGGGCTCCACCCAGACCTACTGAGCCAGAGCTCTGGGGGAGAGGCCCGAGGATCTGTGTTATGCCTGCCAGTGGTTTTGATGCACCCCAAGGTTGAGCACCAACCCCGAGGTTCCAGGCCTAACTGCATAATAGGACATCGTGGGGAAGCTTAGAAAAGCCCTGCCGCTGGAGGCCCACTACTGGCCACTGGGTCTGAGCAGGCAGAGCCCTGAGACTCAGTTGTCCTTGCCCGGTGACTTGAATGTGCGGGGACCCACTGCCCCCACAGCACAGCTTCTTGTAGGGATTTCTGAAAGCAGAGGCAGGGTGCCTGGCACATGGCGGGGCTTCTCGCCTTCCGTGAGAAGTTAGGACGGCCCAACTGAACCCCTTCCAGACCCTTCAGCCTCATACCCGCACACCTTCCCTTTCCAAGACACGTCTCCTCATCCAAAAAGGAGAAGAGATACTTTGTCTTTCCAACTTTTAATCATACCACTTGCTCATTAAAAGTCCCAGGCTTTTCTAAATTATTGAAGGTCTCTAGAGATAATATTTTAATTTATCCTTATAAATGTGACAAGGCCTAAATGGTGCATCTCCTCGAGCACAGCCTGCCTTGGAGACAGTCGGGAAATCCACGAGCGGTTCTCCGTAGTGGAAACACCGCGGAGCCAGCAGGAGGGGAGCCGTGGGGACAGGCCAAGGGCACAGCTGTTGATTTGCTGGACTCCAAAGAGGAGGCCCGCGGCTCTGCCTCCAGCGACATTAAGTTTTGTACCTGCTCTCGGGGCAGGAGGGCTACCATGACTCACAGAGAAGTCCCCTAATGAGTTTCAGCAAACGACAAGGGGTTAGAGGTGACAGCTTTGAGCGCAAAGGAGCAAGCCAACAAT